GTAATAACGCCTCCTTGAGCTTAAGGTTGAGAAATAGGGACCCCTCACGTCGTAGAAAGAGAAGTCTGTGGCTTCCGATCGCCAGGTAGTTTCAGCATGAATGGTTATACTGCTATTTGTTTATGAATAGCTTTATTGCTTTTTCTTGATTTCTGTCGGCAACGCCAAAAATGGATTTTCCGTTGCGACGAATAATGATAATAATAGCTGTTTTCGTCGACAGAGGCAAATCTATTTTTTGCCGTTGCCGACGTAAAGTATATCTTTTATTCTGAATTTTTGTTTTTTTTATGTGAGGGCCCTCCTTAGTTTTCTCCCCTCTAGAGGCGGGTAAGGATAGCGAATGAGGATGAGTTGGATAGAAATGGTTGCTAGCTGAAAGTATTCAATCAGATTGTCCACGTCAACAGGTATAGTTGTGAAACTTCGTTCGACCTTTGTTCAATCATAGTAAAAGAGCCAATAAACAATGTAGTATATACGCAACTTCTGCTAGTCCACAGAGTACTTGACAACATGTATGGTACATAGCATTGCGCAGGATGTGAAAGCAGAAGAACTTCCTCAATACAGTACATATGTACTGTATTGACCCAAAATCGCAATTCCGTAAGAAACTAAACAAACACATCTGGGCCCTTCACAGAGACGGCTGCGTTCACTCGACCTATGTCTTCTTAGTCTGTTGTGGCGCCTGCGTCGACTTAAGGTACTGCATGGACTTGAGGTACTGCTTCGACTATCAGAGCTGCGTCGAGAGTTGCGTCGCATTTATATTTAAGGCGCTGCGGTAGGGCTATGGTAGGCTGACATGCTGCACAGGGCTGCCGAAAATTGTATCTTAATCTATTGTAGCTACCAAGAGAAGTTAGATAATTGTCACGAGCTAGTTGATATCAACGATAAATTATTGCATTAAGAGAAACAAAGAAATAGATAGTCGATATAATAGAGCTTCATTGACCAATTATCGCGCTCACCTATTCAGACGTTTCGACCGTACGGGCATCCCAAAATCTCTCGTTTTGACGCAGGAACAGAAGCATTTCCAGCGTATACGGCTGCAGAGAGTGCCGTTGCAGCCCGAACGTTGCTCGAGCGACGCTGAAAACGCTGCAAACGCTCGAGGTCGGCGGAATCCGACTCAGCAGCTCATAATCTGGTTGGTGCTGCTTCAGGCGGCGACGCTTTTGAAGTCGCTCAACGAACGAGGCTCCCGC